TTCAGAGAAATATCTGTTAGTATAGTAGACGATACACCAGAGTGGAGATATATCCAGTTGATATGTCACAAGTAGGACGAAACGCACGTCCTGGATCCCATTGCTAGACCCTATCCACCACTGTTTTTCAATTAGAGTAATGGAGATTAGTGTTTTTTTTACACATTAGAAATCATCAATCGATCATTTTTAGACCACGATTAAAAACCTGGAAGCACTGGACGACCGTTTCGTCCTGATATGGGACTCATTAGCAGTGCTCATCCATGACTTCTGCGACCTTCGGTATTGAGCGCGAACGCCTAACCATCGGACTACTGGGCCGGCACCCAATGTTGTTAATTTCTAACTCTGACTGATCTAGGGATTTTGAGCGACCTCATCCATTTGTCTTCGTTAGTTACTGCCTACACCCGACAGGGGTGAAATCCACTGGTCACGTCTTCTCACAAGAAGTCCGATGATTTCCTCACGAAACTCTAGTCACTAGTGAGCACATTTTAGGATATTTTCAATTTGAGTTATGGAGATTAGTGTTTTTACACATTTGAAATCATCAATCAAGGAAATCTGCAGGGGATGCATATGCGTCAAACAAACTGATCAATAATAATAATAGTAATACGTTTTTACCATGCTCCTCTATTAAACGATTGTTATACATGCATATATATGATTGATTGGTCAAGCTGTGTTACTTAATATTCAAGGTTGTATATATGCATATACCGTCAGTCTTGTTTAATGAGGTATACTGATTGATAATTGAGGAAAGAGTATTAGATATAAACCAATAGAAGTTTTGTGGCTATCAAAGAGTTATTACTCTAATTTTGGTTTTGCTCATGTGTTTTGTATGATTTTCAAACATTTTATTAAAATATCCATTTTTTACTATGGTTATAGATCTCATTATTTAGAGATTTATATATCAATCAAGAGTTTTTTGCGTAAAGATTGTTTGGAATGTATGGATACTTTGAAATTAGTTAGTATAGGGTCAAAGTTAGACAAACATTAAAAATCTAGAAACAATGGACGTCGGTTTTCTTTTCAGACTGGGATTCTTCACCAGTGCACATTTACAATTCCACCGGTCAAAGTTAAACTCAAAATCTTCGGATTCCACATTCCAATCGTCTTTCTGGCATACCGTTAAGTACATCCCTGAGTAAGATTTAAAGTGCTGTCTGTTCCGTTTGTGATGAAATGTACGTCTTTATTAAGTATACAGTTGTGTTTAAAGATTCATAAGTCTTGAGAATGAACTCGATATTTTCCCTATCAAACAGAAGTCATGTATTTTTCTCACATATCTTGACTTCTTTATGACTTGAGAAGATGAAACGTGGACACAGAATTTCCGTGATACCATGTGTGGTAGAAATGTTGTAACCGATAATTAGACATAAGACGTATTGAACTGAAGACCAATAGTTAATAATCACTATTAATCAAGCACTAACTTAAAAAATAAGTCAACCTTCACTAAGTTAACAATGTGGGTTGCGAAACCCTAATTACTAACAGCATAATTGAGACGAACCGATAGGATATTTATGTAGGAACTTCAAAGATGACAGCGACAGTGACAGTCAGTCACTGTTAGACTAAACCACTGGAAATCTGTAAGCACTGGACAGACGTTTTGTCCTGGTATAGGAGTCATCAGCAGTGCGCACCCACGACTCCTGCACCTCGCAGCACTCGAATCCGAGACCTTCGGACCTCCACAAACTCCTAATTCCTGGACCACTGGGCCGGCATCTAACGGTATTAATGTCCAACTCTAATCAATCTAGGGATTTTACGAGACCTCACTCATTTGTCTTTTGTAGTTACTGCCTACACCCAACGGGGTTGAACTCAGTGACTTTATCAACCGGTTGAATGACATTGGAATATCAACACTTTTCATCGGAATTTATTGTGGTGGAGTTGAAGTTCACTGAGTTGGATGTTTTAGTTTTGAAGCTTTCATTGTTCTTCTTCTACTGAACAACATCATCAGCACAAAGTTGAAATCAAGAAGTGAAGTATTCGGATTTCTCCGTATATTTGACACGTAGCTTAATCTGTTAACCTCAATCTTGATTGATTGCTATTGGCCTTAAACCTGTCGTTGTTTGCACCTTTATTTTAATTGTATCCCCCTTTGATCTGTTTCTAGATCTTTTGTGTTTCTAGGATTTTTCTGATTAGTTGATAAATTGGATCAATGTCTGTGTATTTCTGAATTGCCGACTGACGTGAGTGCCAAGCTTCTGAAAATTCTGTAGTGTTCTTTGTGCTTCTCTTATCCACTACTTCAATATCGTTCCATTCGTGTTGAGGATGTTAGATCCCCAGAACTCGCTTGATAAATGTCTTTATTTCGGATTTTATTCATGGGACGATCAGTCGACCTTGAGATCACATTCCCCACCAGGAGAAGCCCTGGCTGTGATTGGTTACTGTGTTATTTCAGTGTGCTATTTTTGTGGCTCTCCCAAGGATGTCTCTATAGTGTAAAAATAAACGCGATTTGTGTGCTTGAATTCATTACGTGCTGGCTGGGTGTTTGTAGAATACACGTTCTACGCTATATCAAGACTTCTTGCTAGTACATTTGGGTCAAGGGATCTGAGTAGCCTACTTGGACGCTGATTCATTGTCTCTTTCTCGTTTATCGACTAAGGTGACAAACATAACACGAATGTTATGATATAGAGGAAGAGCTGCCACGGCATTTTACTACTAACTGATGTTCACGCAAAAAAAAGCTGAAGAGGTCGTCCACTTTGTCCTATGTAGTGTTTTTCACAGTTTGAGCAATTAACTTTGTAGATGATATTTGGTTTTTCTTCTTTTGTCATTTTATCCTTTGATCTGCATAGGATTGATTGAAGTGATTCTGTTGGTGTGTATGCTACACTTATATTCCAAACAGTTTCAGTAGTCGTGCTGCTGAGCTCTTATTTTAGCATTTCACTATTATGATGTAACCTAAAAGGATAAAGATTTTCACACCACTAAATGACGTTATCGCCTCCATAGAACAACTAATTTGTCCGAGGGTGAAACTCTTCAATTCACAGTCTATTTCGGAAATCAAATTTTGGTTTTCTAATGAGAGTAGGAAGCTCTCTTCACTGAGAGCGCTGGTTTAATATCCATTGTATTGCGTCACTATCGTGCATTTACACTCATGATAGTTGTCTCACTGGAAACACACACAATCGAACTACGTAATCTATTTTTGTCCGAGTACTAAATATGACATTTTAACCGGTCCCTATATTGAATCCCATTTTCTATGATTGATTTCTAGGGGTATGTCATTCAAATTATAATTGTTTATAGCTAGTTTCAAACATTATTCCCCGTATATGAAGACTTATTCCCCTATTAGTCATTGACTAAGCACAGTTTCCCTCTTCTGTTCACATTTCCTATTGTGTGTGTATTAGAATTGATTTGTAGGGTTACTCATTAACTCAATCAAGTCAATGAATATATACGATATGAAGTGTGGTATATCATTGATTAACTCGGGGCTACTGTCAGTTCCAGGCCCGGATAAAGGAGGAGGGTTTGGCATGCGGTTGGCGACCCCATCCCGTCAAAAAATAACTTGCCAAAAAAACGCTAACCAGAAAAAATAATTCAAACTATTTTAACTCTGCCCTGGGAGTTGTAAGAAGAATCATGACTTCGCGTGATAAGAGCCGAGTTCCCTTGCAAGTCACGGGGCCGATGCCTCTTCTGACAACCAGAGTAACTTACTGATCGGCGGCCTATACTCCGTTGGGAATAACAGGCGTAAATAAGTAAGTAAGTAAGTAATATCATTGATTATCGATTCTAATCTGCGTTTATTATGAAGTCAAACTATGTACACTAAATACTGTTCATGTCTTTCACAACAATTCCTTGAATTACTTGTCATAACACAGTATATAATTAGTTCAAAACGTAGACTATTAAATAAATCGTTTTTATCCTAAGTGAACACCATTTATGACAATGTTAGTAATTATACTGATTACTAATCCAAGCCTTGAAAGCAGTCCTCTTATACACAACAGATATTAAGTTCAAATCTAATCGATTTTTGTTGATTAAATGTCCTTCAACAGACCACCTTATATGCTTACTTCACTGACTATCATAATGGTATTCATAGATACTTAGTCAAAATATTGCGTATATATATATATATATATATCAGGAAGAAGCGCTGAAAGTTGATAGGTCGCACGTTGAGGTAAGCACCCAAAAACATAACAAGACAAGTCCTCATTTGGAACCCTCAAGGTCGAAGAAAAAGAGGAAGGCCAAGGAACATATTATGCCGAGAAATGGAGATAGGCATGAGAAGAATCAATAAAAATTGGACGAAACTAGAAAGGCAACCCCAGGACAGAGTTGGTTGGAGAAAACTGGTGGGCGGCCTATGCTCCATTGGGGGTAACAGGCGTAAGTAAGTAATATATATATATGTACATCTTGGTTAACCAACAAGCCTGCTACACTTGCACGCCGCAGCTTTTTAGGCAACACAAGGATTCTCACAGTAGCTGTTTAATGACCACCTCTACCCCATACGGGAACGCACAAGTTGTCTATATTAGCCCGCAGACAAGTCGGATGTCCAAACAGCACTCACACGAACAGTGGCCCCCTTTCAAGCACTTATGAATCAACTCGATTCCTCCAACCAGTCTACTATCCAAAGTCCCCTATCGGCAAGGCGGGCTTACCCAAACAGATCTATCATCCCGAAACGGATTACCGAGCCAACCAACAGCCGTTCCAACCATCTGACCTCCAACTACCTTTTGCTAATACAATCGACCGGAGCTCTCAAGACCCCATACGAAGCTAAAGATCGAGTTTTTTGTCCCACAAGATCAGCCGGAACGTTCACCCTCCCATAGGGTGAGAAAAGTAAAACCTATAGAATTATGACAGTTTATGCATATTTGTATATATATATATATATAAGTACGTATATATATGTGAATAGATATATATTCTGTCAAAAATAGTTCCCTGTTTAGTTAATTAATTAATTAATTAGTTAGTTAGTTAGTCAGTCAAGTTTTGTTCAATTGTTCACGATTATATTATTAAATGTTGCATTGTATCAATGAACTTCAAAACCATTGAATCGGTTAGTTTTTTTTCTGCTTCTTTAGATTCACACATGATAATGTATACCGCTTCTTTTCCAACCAAGATCATCACGTTTCCATCGATATGGTCTACCACGCATCAATACTGAACGTTTTAACCATGAATACGGTATTATTGATGGTCTAGACAATGATGCATGAAACATAGGCGATGGCGGTAATAATCCTGACGATGTGGATGATGTTGTAGACGGCAACGATGATGACGACGACGACATTGATGTAGGACTAATCTGTGGCATGGTTGATTGTTTCAATAAATTCTCTGTAAGTTTTTTCAGCAAATTATCTGAAATGATTCTTTCATCATGTTCAATGTTCAATGGTTCCAATGGTTGACTGTGTTTATCGTGTTTGTGTGTATTTCTCCATTGTAAATCATATTCAATCGGTTGGAATAGTTTTTCAGGATCATGTTGTGGATTTTCTGCAATTATATAATCATTCTGATCATTTAAATCATCTATATCATTATTCTCGTTCAATGTTAAATCATTGTCAATATTTTCATGGAATATAGAAGATAGTGGATTGTTTGAATGAATATACTGCTCACCATATTCTAGAATGATGCGAAATTTAAAAAAAAAACCAAAAACAAACAATTTTCGATTTAGTGTGTTCGTTCATGAGTTGTATTGATTTTAAAAATCTTATTATGGATATATATATGATTACGAAATTTGTATGAAAAGTTGAAAACTATTTCAATATTTTGAAATTATGAACTGATCCATGTAAGATAATCACTAGAAAGAAACTTGGAAGCACTGAACGGCTGTATCGTTCTGGTATGGAACTATTCATCAGCAATGATGTATCCGCGACTTCTGCTACTCACAGGATTGGAAGCTAGGAACTTCAGCTTTGAGGGCACGAACGCTTAACTTGTGCATCACTGAGTCGACATCCAACACAGTGTTAATGTCTAACTTCAATCAATATCATCGGGGGACGAAACGACCGTCTAATACTTTCAGGTTTCTAATAGTGTAGTCTAACATTGATAGATTCGTGATTTCGAAATATAACTTAGCCATCTTCACAACCCGATAATGCGAATTTCCATATTAAAAAATTGGAAATTATTTTCTAACGATGTTAATGTCTAACATTAGTCAACCAACGATATTACGCAACCTCATCCAGTGTATTCGGTGTGTAACTACCTCACACCCAACACGGTAGAGCTACATTGTTCATGGCTTCTCATCAGAACTTTGGTAATTTCCTCATGAAGCTAGTCATTGGTCAACAAATGATAATTGTCATTAAATGCTTGTCTAGATTGTTGAGTTTCATTGAAGTTAGACATTAACATAGTACAATGTCGACTCAGTGGTTCATTTGCGAAAACCAAGGACCTAGATTTGATTCCTGCGTGCCGACGTGGTAAACGCTCACTGCTGACGAGTCTCATACTATGACGAAACAGTCATCCAGCACTTCCTTGATCTTCATTGTTTGTTGTTAATTGTCAATAAAACAAGTTGCAAGTCCAACGTGGAGAAATTCAACTGTTTCACTTCTATCTGAAGTATCTGCTGGCATCATTGTTCATTAGAAGAACAATGAAAGCTCCACAACCAAGACATCCAACGTGGAGAATGAAACTTCATCACAAATAAGTGTCATTTTATAACTAATAGTTAGATGTTTACTTAAGATTAGTAAGAAATCATGGTTTTTTTTCAGAGATTGACGTTACACTTAAGGTTTAATGAAAATACTGACATATAAAATCAGATCCAAGCAGAAAATGAGTTGAAACAAACGCCTTGAATATCACTGTATGACATTATTCAAAATAACAATAAGCGCAGGCCAAAAAACACCATATACCACTGTAGCATCTTACATACATATGAGTTTGTTTACACGTTTAATTTGGTGAAGCCATTTTGATTAAGTTATTTAACAGATAATGTCCTTTGTACAACAACAACAACTTATCAGTTTGTGTGAGCAGGTATAATTGAGTACCGCTTGCCACCTATACACATATTAATTTATCATGTTAACCGCTTAAATCACTCGGTGATTGATTCATTTTCCTATGTACATGTTAATTCTACTCATTGATGCGCTCACTGACTAGCTCGTTTGCTCTCAAGCACTTGCATATCATTTTTACTTCGTAGGCCTGTAGTTTTGTGACCTGTATTTGGTGTGATAATAAACGTCTTCAACTGTTAATATTCTACTTCTGATCTATACACCGTTGGGCGTTATCTAATAACGGTTATCAGGACGATCAGTATATGAAGTTTAGGTATTATATAGAATACTGACCGCCATAGAACTGGTGAGCACACCACCTACAACAAAATTGATGAGCTTGACGTCGAATCCAACACGGCCACATAACGCAAACTAACACCGCTTTTTTTTTAAAGTTTATCTCCGTCCAGAGGAATTTCAAATGCTATACACCGACAAAAACCAACATCTTTCCAATATATTTCTATACAATTTTTCATTACACATGTCGATTTCTGAAGTCGTGATTCAATCTACAGTTCAATTATGTTCGAGTGTAGGCAGTTACCTACACTGAAGAGAAACGGGGGTGGGAATGCGCAATGCTGTAAATTAATATCCTTGTATGCCGGTCAGCTCATAGGTCCAGACATTAGGCGTTCGCGCGCGAAACCGAAAGTCCTGTGTTCGAGAATCGTGTACGAGTACCGGGAGTTGTGGTTTCGCACTGCTGCTGCTGCTGCTGATGAGCAGTCGTCACATACCAGGGCGTAGCCTCAATCATTCAATGCTTTCAGATTTCTAATGGTGTTATGGTTTAACAATGACTGATTCATGATTTCAGTAATATTTCTCTATACAGTAAAACAAGTTACGATTAACTACAATCATTTATGACGAAAAAAATGCAATCAAATTACCTGTTGATTTACTGTCAATTTCATTCCAAAGTATTAAATTTGTTATTAATATAAGATATAATTTAGGCAAATATAGCCTCATAATCTAAAAAGAAACAACTAAAAATGAAAATATTTTTTAAAAAAAAGATAATCAATAAATTTTCACAAATTTCAAAAAATGGATGAATGAGAAATGTTCACTTTGTTAGATCCATGATTTTTCGAGACTACTTAGACTGTGGTGTGAGCTACTTATTAGTAGTATATGACGTGAGTAAAAACGTAATGTCTGTCAGCGGAAGATGGGGGGAAGATCAAGAAAGGAAGAACGGAGAACACAATGGAATTTGTATGAAACGCATGAATAGTGAGTGACAATTGATTGATGTTGTTTGCAACAGGGACAGTCCAGTTCGATATGATGAACTGGTATTTTGCAAATTAACGATTTACGATATGGTTAATCTATTTTATTGAATAACTGTAATTTTCGTTAAATACAATCCGGTTGCCCCACCTGTGTTCTCCTTCACTACAAGACTACTTACCATATACAATGGTTGAGCATATCTCTTTTGGCAAGGGCAATTTTTACATTGGCGTTCAGGAGAATCAAGAAGATTGCCAAAGGTAATCTTGTAGTGCAACCACACACTGTTACCTGACGCCATGATGAACCACCAATACAAGAGATGATTATTTTCGACCCAGGATTGCGTCAGTCAATCTAGTAGTCACTAGTGACTAGATTCGCCAGGAAATTCTCGGAGTTCTGATGAAAAGACCTGGTCAGTGAAGTTCAACCCTGTCGGGTGTAGGCAGAAGTAACTACCGAAGACAAATCGGTGAAGTGTCGCAAAATCCCTAGATCAATTAGAATTAGACATCAATACCAGTGGACGTAGGCCAGCTTAATAATGGTTCAGAGTTTAGGCGTTCGCGCGCAAGAAAATATTTTTGATGAAAGAGTATAATTCAATCGTTAGAGAAATTTTTGGCTAATTACTCAGCACCAATAATGTAATATGAAGTTGGTTTCTATTACTTACTAGTTAAGACTTGAGAAAACACACTTGTTTCATCTATCATGACCCTGTTTGTATCATTGTGCAATTTCGAAGTCTGAACTGTATTGCCTTGAAAAGAACTTGTTAAATAATGCAGATTGCAGATTGGTGAGTTTCGTCGAAATCATGAAAGTCCTGGATAGCCATCTCGTCCTAGCAATGAACAAGCCTGTAATGACAGCTATCATGTAGTTACACTTGAGGCTAACTTCATGATGTAATTTTCGGAAATCTAGCCAGGAGTCAGAAAAACTGTGGAGTCCAATCGTGTCTGGCGTCAGGCAGTTACTTACCAAACGCTATGTATGAATGCAGTCGCACGATATCGTAGAATGATTCGAGTTAGGCACTAACAGTGTTGGATGTCATTCAGTGGTCGGTAGGTTGAGTGTTCGCGTGCGAGACTGTAAGGCCTGAGTTCAATTTCCACTTATAGAGTCGTGGATACGACGCATTACTGACTAGATCCATAGTAGGAGAAAACGGCCGTCCAATGCTTTCAGGTTTCTTATAGTTGCCTAACACTAATCAATGCATGATATCAGTAAAATTATTTGGTGAAGTTTTATTCAATTTGAATAGAAAAAATTGATATGACACTAGAATTTTGACAGAATCAACATATATTTTTCTGTTCAACTTATGTTTCAACTTTTATTACATTGTGAGAAACACTTGATTTTGTTTTTCAAGGTATATCGAATAAAAATATAAAATCTCAAAAAGCTTGAAGTGATTCTGATTAGGTATTTTTTTCATCGAATAGGCAGAAGTGTTTCTTATTTTGTTTAGTGTATTTGTTTACCTACTGAGATAAATGATATCTAAACGTTAGTATATGGTTTGATTGTGACCGATTTGGTTTCGTGCGCTTTTACAAGTAGGTATTAGGGCAGATGTCACTACCCTACTGCCCACACCATGGAAAGGTGTTTCTTGAGGAGCCTGAATAGGAAATCGGGTTAGTGTTGGTCTTATTCACCTAGGAGAGTGAGATCGTAGAACCCAAAGGATAACTGCTTGAAGATTTTTAAGTGTTAGCTCCGTTCATTTTAAAAGAGCTTATCGTCAGAGACAAAAATTCGATGGAATAACGTGAGGTGTGACATTTTTAGGGTTGACCTTTACTTACCCTTCCTTCCTTGTGAGAAGGCAGCTGATGCCGGTCGTCCGAGGGGAACACCTCTTTACTGTCGGCAGTACGACTTCGTCCTCAGATCTTAAGTTGCCACTTTTAGTCATACCGTTCTCCAGTCAACCTGCCTGGCAGAAATATATATTACAGCCAATATATCTCGATTATGTCATCACGATAGGCAAGCCTGACCACCACATCAAGGTAGCAGCTACGATCGGGATTTGAATTGAGAATTGCTTCTCTGTACTAATGTGGTATCGCAACTTGAACAAATGTAGTTACGTACCCCACGTTCTACGTTTTAACTGACTGACTGATGGTATATGAACTAGTTACAAAATACTGAGAACTATTTAATTTCATGCTCAAAATTCATGTTCATCAAAATATTTGCCGCAGAATTTAGCAGAAAGTACTTCGTTATAAAAAATAAATTACTGAGTTTAAGCAGAATTTAGATACATGTATTTTAATGTTCTACTGTGTCTTATCAATGTACTATTGAGTAATTTCTCCTCAATTTATAATATTTCTCAGGCGGCCTGTTTGAATAATTGCGCTACCTCTTTCGTAGCATCAAAATATTTAAACCAGTCACCTCTACCTGTTTGTTTTAACACATCAATTGTGTCTGTTAATCACATAATCTATTTAGGCGAGAAAACGTATAGTAAAACGTTTTTAACAGTTGATGAACCTAATTTAAAATAATGAGATGGAACTTAGCAGAAAACAGTGGATTTATTGATCTAAACCCATTTACAATTTGTCAAGAGTAGAAATAACCATTTGAAACCAATGTACATGCTTGATGTTATATTATTGAAGGTTGATCTAATAACAAGGATAAATATGAGACAAAAATGAAAACGTTTTGTCCTGATGGTCGATTGGATTGTGAAAACCTCCACATCTCATGGGGGAAATAAGGAATATAGTCAACAGCTTGGATACAGCTAGGCGATTTAGAATTCGCAGATGATCTAGCTCTCCTATCTCAGACGCAACAACAAATGCAGGAGAAAACAAGATCCTTCATTACAGTACAACAGACAGTTACATTCAACAATCTCCACAAACCACAACTGTGAAATTAATGTTTGTATATTAATTTAAACAATCTTCACCAAATCTTTTATTGATTCACGATTCTGATTTAAAACCAAGATCTCCATAATTCTATGATGAAAAATCATTAAATGTACTCACTAATGACTAGTTACGGTGAGGGAATTCACAGGGTCCTAGTGAGAAGCCGTGAACAGTGGAGTTCAACCATGTTGAGTGTAGGTATTCACCTACTTAAAATAATGGGTTTGGTCACTCAATCAACACCTTGGATTCATCGAAGTTAGACAGTAATACCATTGGATGTTGGCTCAGTGGTGTAGGTAAGCGTTAAGAATTCGTTCTCAAGACTGAAGCTAATGGGTTCAACTCCTGCGAGTTGCGGGACTAGTGAATGCTCACTACTTATGAGTCACATGCTAGAACGAAACGGCCATCTAATGCTTTCAGGTTTCTTACAGCGATCGAATGATGATTAGTCACGATTTTATTGTTTCATCCAATTAAACTTCTGTTTTCACTACGGCGTGCCTGGCAAGATAGTCAACATCATACGGAATTCTTATGATGGGTTAAACTGCAAAATCGTGCACGGAGGTCAGCTGACAAATTCTTTTGAGCTGAAAACCAGTTCCAGGCAAGGTTGCTTACTCTCACCCTTTCTCTTTCTCCTGGTCATCGACTGGATTATGAAGACGTCAGCATCTGGACGGAGGCACGGTATCCGATTTACAGCTAGGATTCCGCATGAAGGATCTGGACTTCTCAGATGAACTGGCTTTTCTATCGCGCACGCTACAACAAATGCAAGAGAAGACGACCAGTGTAGCAGCAGCCTAGGCAGCAGTAGGTCTCAACATACATAAAGTGAAAAGTAAGATTCTACGATACAACACAACATGCGTCAACCAAATCACTCTTGATGGAGATGCCTTGGAGGACGTTGACACCTCTACATATCTGGGCAGCATCATCGACGAGCAAGGTGGATCCGATGCAGATGTGAGGGCGCGGATTGGCAAAGCAAGGGCTGTATTTCTACAATTGAAAACTATCTTGAACTCCAACCAAATATCAATCAACACTAAAATCAGAATTTTCAATAAAAATTTCAAGACAGTTCTATTGTATGGAGCGGAAACATGGAGAACTACGAAAGGCATCATTCAGAAGATACAAATATTTATCAACACTTGTCTTAGCAAAATACTTTGGATTTGTTGGGCAGAAACTATCAGCAACAGCTTACTTTGATAGAGAATAAACCAGATTCAAGTAGAGGAGGAAATCAGGAAGAAGCTGTGGAGTTGGCGGATAGGATACACACTACGAAAAGCGCTAAACTGCGTCACAAGACAAGCCCTTACTTGGAACCCTCAAGGCAAAAGGAAAAGAGGAAGGCCAAGGAACAGATTACTCCGAGAAATAGAGAAAGATATGAGAAGAATGAACAAAAACTGGAAAGAACTGGAAAGGAAGGTGCAGGACAGAGTTGGTTGAAGAATGCTGCTGGTGGGCGGCCTGTGCTTCATTGGGGGTAACAGGCGTAAGTAAGCAAGTAAGTAAGTAAGTAAGTGCATCAGTAAGTAAGTAAGTAAGTTTCCATTTATCATTAATCAGCAGTGCTTATCTGACAAAACTCTTGCAAATTTTACATTAGTCCAACCTGTTTTCTTAGAATATTCCAGTTTCGAAATTCCATCAAAATATGTATGTTTTTTTTGCAGTTTATAAAATGAAACTTGTTGCTTTCAATCAATAGGTTTCCTCTATCTCTCTCTCACTCATTTCATTCTTATATAAAATCAAAGAAAAATATTATATTTTTTCTTCTAAATTG